TATTTATTCATTCATTGATTCAGTCATTTTAGAGTACTGGGGACTGAACTCAGGGTCTTTTGCACTGAGCCACATCTCCACCCCTTTTTGAGAAAGGGCTCAAGCTTGTAATCCTTCTGTCTCAGCCCCTACAGTGCTGAAGTTACTGGTGTATGCCACCATGGTCATCACATCTGTTGAAATTAGATAACAACAGAGAAATCTTTAAAGTTCTATTATATACATTGGACATGTCTGTTCTTGAGTTATTGATATTTACTGTAATGGTATCAATTTCTTGTTTTGTAAACATTTTTAATTTACAAAGCAGAAAATGGTTATTTTTTGGTTGCTTTTATGAATCCAAACTATTTGTAGAAGAAATAATATATCGCTTTTGCATTTCAAGGCACTGCTTTGCATAACATACTTTATAAAAATTTACAAACAGAAAACTACCATTTGCTCTGGATTTTGCTTTGCGGTGGTTGGCCTGGCAGAAACATACTTGCAGAGTCAGTTGTTTTCCCCCTTACTTCACGTTTGTTAAGTTAAACACTAATAATTTCAATTGAGTCAATAGCCATGTTTTATGCAAAATAAAAGGAAAGTTGAAAACTCATAGTATTACAGGGATCGGCAGGCAACTGTGCAAATCCAACTTAGTATAAAATCATAGGTTTAGGGATCGGGAGATGGCTCAGTGGCTTAAATACCTGCCTGGCAAACACAAGATCCTGAGTTTGATCCCTGGTACCAGAAAAAAAAAAAAAAAGTAAAAAAGTAAGTAGAAAGACCGGTCAGATAGCTCACTGGATTAAAGCGCCTGCATAGGCAGATGCAGGGACTGGGGTTCAATCCCTGGCCCCCCAGGGTGTGCTGAGACATGATTGAGACTAGGCATGGTGGCATGTGCCTACAATTCCAGTGCTTGGGAGGCTGAGAACAGGAGGATCACTACAAGTCTGATCTGTATAGTGAGACCCTATAGACCATGTACTAAATACATTTTTTTTTAAAAGTAGAAAAGAAACAAAGAAAGAAGATAGGAATGGGTAGAACCTGTAGCCAATTTGGAACCTATAGTTCCTGAGTGGCAATTTCTTCAGTCCTGATTTATTTTGCTATATTGATTTAACATATAAACAAAAGTGACATTTGGGTAACATGGCTTTAGGAATGGAAATCTAGTGGAAGTCTTTCTATTACATTACTGACTCAACTGTGCCATTTCTAATGTGGTCCACATTTTTTACATTACTGATGTGAATGTATAAGACAAGGGAAATTTGGAACTGAGTTACTGTAAATGTATCTTTTTCTGAGAAAGATTAATTTGAAATTAGTGCAGGTTACTCCATAATCCAGCCACTAAGTTAAGGTAGTAAAAAGTCAGAGATTAACAGGCACATTGATGTTATTGTAAGTTTTTATAGTAGAATTATTAAATACTTTCAATGTAATAATTCTGATTAAGAAAAATAATGATGGGCTGGGGAGATAGCTTGGCAGTCTAAATACCTGCCTGGCAAGCGCAAGGGCCCAAGTTTGATCCCCAGTACCACATGTAGTGTTGGCCTCCACTGAAACCAGGCATGGTGGAGCACACCAGTAATCCCAGCACTGGGAGACTGGAACAGGAGGATCGCTAAGAGTCTGAACTGCATAGTGAGACCCTATACCAAATAAATAAATAAAAGATTAAAAAATATATAAATAAAACAAAAACAAAGAATGATAATCTATGGCTTTATTTTTTAGTACCAAAGAGTTTATCCATTGTACTTCTGTGAGAGCCAAAAAATAATCTAGTAATTTTTTAATCATTTTTTGTTACACATCTGAGACTAATTCCAAATGTTTATAGACATTATATATATATTGAATCATACAAAGCTTTTTATACAAAGCTTATTATGCTTTAGACTACTGTACATTGTTTTTACTCCTTTATAATTACTCAACTACCTTTGAGGATATGACTCCTAGTTGATCGTGGATAAATTAGCTCCTAGTTTTAAAGTGGCCATTTACTTTAGAGTTGGCAAATATTTGGTACTGTTTTTTTTTTTTTACATGTTTTTGTGTTTATTGATTTTACAAAACATTGGGCTTCAGTGTGGCTTTTTGATATATGCACATAATAAATACTGTACATGGATCATATCCAACTCCCCTCCAATAGTTGGGGGTGGTTCTGTGTGGTATTTAATAAGCACCTGGATCTGGTTTGTTACTTTGGACAGTGTTGTTCCCTATGTGACTTTTGACACAGAAAATACTCTAACATGTTACACATTGTCATAGAAAACTAACAAGAAACATGAGATGTAATATCTTCTAAGAAGGGTAACTCACGAAATGATTATTTGTGAAGGAAAAATTTTACCTAAAGGAGTAAACTTTTGTTTCAGGCATATAAATACAAATGAGGGGGCCAGGGAGATTCCTCAGTGGAATAAGTGCTTCCCTGACAAGTTCAAGGGCCTGAGTTCAATCCCCTGTTCCGCTAAATAAATAAATAAATAAATAAATGCAAATGAAAAATTAAAAGTTCTGGTTAAGGGCCAGGGATATAGCTCAGTGACACAAGCACCTGCCTGACAAGCTCAAGGTCTTGAGTTCAATCCCTAGTACCGCAAAAATAAATAAACATTCTAATTAAGATTTAAGTATAGATGCATACTATATACCAATATCACATCTCTTATTAATAACAAGTATATCCTTTAATAGCCTTAGTATATTTGTGATTTCGTCCAGATGAACCTAGTAATTCATCTAGTCATTCTTGGCTATAGGGCATTCTTGATGTGACTAATAAAAGCAAACTCCACCCACAGGCTGTCTAGAGCTTAGCTAATGAGATAGAGCAGTGAGGGGCTGACATTCTTTTATGAGAATGCTGCGATGTGACTGATAATTCGATTTCTCTTCCACAGTAGGTTGTTATACATAATTATCCTGAGACCTCATCAAGCCTAAGAAAAAGCCTTACACACCCTAGGAAGGTAGGTTCTGTATGCTTAACGTCCCATCACAGCATGGAAAAAGCGAGCAGCTTTGCAAGCTGTGATTTAATGAAGGCTTTTTTCCCCCTCTCAATGATTTGCTGAAAAGTCATACACCATCCCACTTACCCTTACTTATGCTTCAAATCCACACTGGCTTATATATGAGCAACACCAAAATTGTAAGTTCTAGGAAATTAGCAAACATGGAAGTCCATGTTGGTGCTAGGCATCACTAATAGGAAAGGTGGAAGGCTGGGGTAAGACACTGATTAGTCACTTTAGAACCCCAAGAAATGTGCCCTGGCCAACAGGAGTAAGCCTAGAGCAGCTTTGGCTCATCAGTATTACACCCATCATGTTTAACCCCATCATGTTTTTTGACAGGTCTCCTTCCCCTGTAGCCCAGGCAGGCCTTGAGCTCCTCACTGTCCTTCAGCCTCAGCTTCTAGAATGCTGGGGTTACAGGACTGTGCTGTCAGGCCTGTCCATCGATCATTAGTGTTGAAATACATAGTTGACAATTATTAATAATTGTTAACTAATAACTATTATTGACATTACTAATGAATTTAGGATTTAATTTGTAGTTGATGCATATTCACAGAAATGAAAGATGTCAGGAGCTGGTAGTGTAGTGAAATGCAGATTCTTTTTTTTTTTTTTTTCTCTCTTTTTTTTTTTGTGGAACCAGGGATTGAACTCAGATCCTTGCGTTTGCCAGTCAAGCGCTTATCCTACTGAGCCATCTCCCCGGCCTGAAATGCAGATTCTGATTGTAGCTATGTAGATGCATAGCTGACAATCATCTGCAAAAGGTGTTTTCCTTAATTCCAATAATTTCATTAGTTTTTATCTTTCTATAAAAAAGTCAAGCTTTTTTATAGCAAATATTGCTTAAATTATTTGCTATTAAATGAAGCAAAGTTCTATCTGTGTCAGTACTAGAACATTCAGACAATGAGGTCAAACTGTTTAGGAAAGTAAGGAGAATATCATAGTTCCAAGCATTTT